TCCCACTCCACCCCCATCTAATCCTAAGAGATGGTAAGGCCCTCTTTGCTTTGTGGAAGGCCCGAGACCCCCCCTACTACATCTAGGCTGAGCAAGGTATACATCCACAGAGAATAGGATCCCAAAAGGCCAGTATTTGCAGTAGAGATAAATCCCAGTGTCACTACCAGTGGCCCCTCAGTCTGCCCCAGCCATACAACTGTCAACCACATTCAGAGGGACTAGTTTGGTCCTATGCTTGTTCCTTCCCAGTCCAGCTGGAGCTAGTGAGCTCCCTAATTAGCTCAGGTAAACTGTTTCAGTGGATGAATCCATCATAGTCTTGACCTCTTTGCTCATAATTCTCATTCCTTCCACTCTTCAACTGGACCTTGGAAGCTCAGTCCAGTGTTCCAATGTGGGTCTCTGCCTCTGTTTCCATTTGTTGTTGGATGAAGGTTCTAAGTTGATATTTAAGATAATCATCAGTCTGAATACAGGGCAAGGCCAGTTCAGGCACCCTCTCTTCTATTGCTTAGGGTTTTAGCTGGGGTCATCCTTGTGGATTCCTGAGAATTTTTCTAGAGCCAGGTTTCTTGTTAATCCCATAATGGCTCCCTCAGTCAAGATAACTCTTTCCTTGCTCTCATCTCTGTCCTTCCTCCATCTCAACTATCCCATTCCCTCAAGCTCTCCCCAACCCTCCCCTTCTCCCCTTTCTTCTATCCCCTGCCCCCATGCTTCCAATTTTGTCAGGAGATCTTGTCTGTTTCCAATTTCCAGGGGGTCTATATATGTTTTTCTTTGGGTTCACCGTATTACTTAGTTTCTTGAGGCAGGATCTCATTCTAAGTCAGGCTTTCCTGGAACTTACTCTGTAACCTAGGCTTACCTCAAACTCACCCTGATCCTCCTGCCTCAGCCCCCAGAGTTCTGGGATGACAGGCATAAGTTAACCAAGATTGGCTAGCCATCAATTTTTAAAACAATACTCTTTTACTCAGTGTTGGGAATTTGTATTAAAATTTTTAAGTTCATTTAACAATTTAAAAAATCAGATGATAGCTGGGCGGTGGTGGTGCACGCCTTTAATCCCAGCACTCGTGAGGCAGAGGCAGGCGGATCTCTGGGAGTTCGAGGCCAGCCTGGTCTACAAGAGCTAGTTCCAGGACAGGCTCCAAAGCTACAGAGAAACCCTGTCTCGAAAAGCCAAAAAAAAAAAAAAATTAGATGGTAAAAAGCAAATTCACCTGTTTTTTTTTAAATACAAAAATATATAAAAAAGTAAATATGAGGGCTAGCTAAATTCAACACATTTCCTGCATTTTTTGGATTTCACTAGCTTTTGGCAAACATTGCTTTCACTTACATAAAGTTTATTGATTCCAATATGGTATTCAAAAGTGACTCACACCTCTTTAGATAGGACAGGTGTTTCTACCCTTAATCTCCTGTGAAAGAACTTGAATCTGAATGGTACACTAACAAACAGCATGAGACTTGTCTGAACCAGTCAGTTTTCCTTGAGCACACCAGCTGTAACACACTGATGCATTTACAAGATCATAAAAGTATTTAAGTTCTCGCCATGTTTTTTCCCCTGAAGCAGAGACCTGCCTTGTTCACAAAGGGTTCTTTGCATGAACAGTAACATGTAAATTCCAGCACGGATGAATGTTCTTCAGAGATTCACCTTGATCGCAGCCAAAGGCACCACCACCCCCGAGCACCTAAGCCCCAGCTGGGACCCTGATAACAGGATCTTTTTGTCCTTCGTCTAGGATGTCTGTGTCAGGGCTTATCTGGCTCTTCGTCATCACACCAACCTGCTGATCATCCTGTTCTCCATGATGCTGATGACAGGAATGCCCCAGTTAACAAGCAAAGAAGATATTGAGTATATCCGAGACGCCCTCACAGTGGGGAAGAACGAGGAGGAGGCTAAGAAGTATTTCCTCGACCAGATTGAAGTTTGCAGAGACAAAGGATGGACGGTGCAGTTTAACTGGTTCCTACATCTCGTTCTTGGCATCAAACAAGGAGAGAAACACTCTGCTTAATATTCGGCGCTAGAGCCAAAAGCAATTTTGTGTTCGAAAGCTTTTGAAATCAGCATGTGTCAGTCATCAGACTTAGCTTTAAAATGCAATAGGACTCTCTGAACACTGGCACTTCAGAAATACAGTTTTTTTCCCCAGTTGAACTCTTCTCCAGAGGAAAAAACGTTGGCATTAATGATGGTTTGGTTAATATTCAGCGTGAGACTTCTTTGCTCTTTTCCCCTCTCAGACGCCATAATGTTGATGAACATTCTAAGTTTAAATAGACGGATGGCTTGTTTATCACACCTGATGCTCTCGCACTGCGTGTCTCTGGAGGTGCTTTAGTAGAATAATTGGTGAAACCTGTGGTCACATGTGTTTACTATACGTTTTGGCTTTCCTGTGGTCTTTAAGAGCAGAAAAGGGTGCGAGCCTTGCTAAGCTCTGCTGCATGCTTTACAGTTTGTCTCCGAGCATCCCCTCTGTGCCCACAGACGTTGGTGATATGCTGGAAGCAAGCATGGTAGCCTTTTGAGTGCCTTTAGCAATTAGTCTCTCTGTGTGCAGCTGAGATGCACACATGCTGAAAGCAAGCTCTGAGCCTGAGCCTTGACCCTCCCCTGCTGGTGTGGCTCCAGGGTTATGGATATGAAAAATGAAGGTAAGACCTTTTCCCCAGAGTGAATAACCTAATACAGTCGGTGTCATTGTCTCTGGCACAGAAACAGGAAGTGGCTAAATGGAGCCTTTGACGCACATTGATGGTTGTTCTTACCCCACCTCTCTTCTTCCTGCCTTCTTCAAGGACAGTTCTTCCCAATAGCTCAAAATGACTTGAAAGGCTTATGAGAATCACAGGTACTTATCTGTGGAGCTGATCCATGGAGTTTTAAAAAGTTCCCGAAAATGTTATTAGCCAAATGCTTTAATATTACATTTCAGTCTGAACAGTTTTGTTTATTTTTTAATGGAAGAAGATACCTGCTATCAAATGTATTCTTGCATAGTCATTTTTTTTTAATTTTGAGACATCCTGAAGTTCATAAAGGCAATTGAACCATTTTCCATTATTTCTCATTTCTTAAATGTTGTTATTTGTTATTAGTGTTGATCTGCTGTAGAGACAGAGCAGTAAATTATTTAATCAAATAGTTTTACCCATCATTAATTCCACAGAAAGAACTGTGTTATTGGTGTCCAGATTAAATATAACCAGATACAACTTTTTCTGATTTTTAATTTTTCAAGATAGACTCTTCACTTCGTTGGAGCCCAAACTGATTTTTTGTGTTTGCAGAAGTCAAGTATCACCTGATTCTGTTTCAATAAGAATCATCAGGGACACTTTAAAAATGCCCTTACCTTTGGTTTTTTTGTTTGTTTGCTTGTTTGTTTTGGTTTTTGAGACAGGGTTTCTCTGTGGCTTTGGAGCCTGTCCTGGAATTAGCTCTTATAGACCAGGCTGACCTCAAACTCACAGAGAGCTGTCTGCCTTGCGTTTTTAAATCAGCCCACTTTCAATAGATTATAATTTCATTAGTGTGGAATGATCTGGGCATAGTTTCTGAGTACTCAGGTGAATCTAATACATGCAGGGAAGAAGCCTCACGTGGGCCATGAAGATGTAGGTATCCCTCCCTGCTTACTGGACCTTCTGTGGCTCATAGCGAGCTACAAAAATACTCTTCATTCCTAGCAACTAACCCTTTTAAAACCATGTCGTCTCCTCTACAGAAGGACAAGCCCCTTGCAATTGTATCCTTCCTATGAATAGAGATTAGATGTTTTACGGAACTTCCTTACCGCGGTTTGCTAATGTAGGTGGAGAAAGACTGGTGCGGTCTACCTTCAACTGGAAGCCATTCCTGAGCTTCCAAAGAAGAGCCATGCAGACTTTGTACAGACTTTGCCTTTCATTTGCATTGCTGAAATGATCATCTTGATGATAAAACAATTACAAAGTATATCTGTATTTAGCTTTTGACACACATGCATACAAATTAGTTCTTTAAATGAGCCAGCGTCTTCATAAAGCTGAAATACATGACGCCACGTACTGGGTTTTATTCTTCCATTTCCCAAAGAATGTAGACCTGCAGACAAGCAAAATTCACATGCTTGCTTCCTTTACATAGTTCTTGCAAATGATCTGTTTTCACACCTTTGAAAATATTCTAGACCTGGGGTCCTCCTTCTGCTGGGCAAATACCGATGTCTCTATCTTCAGTGCTCAGTGAAAACACATATCACAGGTCAGATGGGTCAGGTCAAAGCAACTTACATGTATATCTAAGACTGGCAAAACACACACACACACACACACACACACAAAAGCAGCTGTTGTAGACTTGGTCCAATATGACTGCACTTCGCTGGGTTTGGTGATGCTCTGAAAAGGCCAGAAAGACATTATGGATAAAAAGACATTATTCATAATGCAAACAAATTAAGTATAATAAGTGTATTGTTTTCAGGAGATGGGTTGCTTTATTTTTATTAGTTCTTTGAGAATAGTGTACAATGAGTTTTGGCCGTATTCAGCCAGTCCCCAATCTTTTCCCAGATTCACCCACTTCCCTACCTACCCAAACGTGTGTCTTTCTTTTCTCCCGGCCATGGAATCACTCCTAAAGAAAGCACACTCTTCCCCTCCCAGCAGCTATCAATGGCCAGTAGTTCCTGGCTAGGGGCAGGACTTGGTACCCACCCCATCTCTCCATGCCGGGATTCAGTCTGGCTTGAGCTTCCATGGGGCTTGTCCTAACTACTTCACGTTCACCTGTGCCGCTGGCCCAGTGTGTCCAGAGGACGCTGCTTTCCTGAATCGTTCACCACCTCTGTTTCTTACGGTCTCTCCGGTCCCTCTTTGTATGATCACTAGCCTGGAGGAGATGGTAGGGTATGGATGGTCCATGTAGGGCTGAATATTCTGCAGCCTCTTGTTCTCCACTCCACGCCATTTGTGAGTCTCAGTGGTAACCATCATCAAATGCAGATAGATACTTCCTGATGTGGGTTGAGAGGTCCGCTGATCTGTGGGTATGACAAGTCATGAAGGGTCAGCCATGGGAGTTTCCTAGCATGATTTGGAAGCCATTGGTCCTATACTAATGGTAACTGATTATATTTTTAGATAAATTAGAAAATACATTTCTGAAATTACAGTTATTGTCTTTTGTAGGGTAGACTCTGTTTTCCATAATTGGCAGTTATGTTTGAGAGTATGAAGAAAATGAAATAAGCTAGAATTTCTTAAAGATTCTGTTGACTGGTTTCCGGCTTTATCCAACCTAATCATTCAGTTCCACTCTTGGTGCTTCTTCGTGTGTTTTCAGAGGCTCGTTTCAGGACAGATGCCAGGGAATTCTACAGCACTTGCGCGGCTAGCCCTATCTGGCAGCTAAGACGGTCTCTTGTATTTTAATTACAAGTGTTAATTTAAATAAAAAAATGTTTAAACTTCCAAATGGTTCTGAAACTCAAATTCTTTAGTTTGATTCATTGTTGAGTGCTCACTGCCTACAAGACACTACACGGTGTGCTGGGGAATTGGGTGTGCAACAAGACGGGCTAAATCCCAGTTCTTACAGTGTTCTTCATATGCTGGTGATGCAAGTGTGCAAGTGTGTGTGTGAGAGAGAGAGAGAGAGAGAGAGAGAGAGAGAGAGAGAGAGAGAAAGATATTTGTGTATGTGTATGGGTTCCTGTGTGTATGCTTGTGTGTATGTGTGTGTGTGATTTGTGCATGTGTATGGGTTCCTGTGTATGTATGTCTATGTGCACCTGTGTGTGTGTGTGTGTGTGTGTGTGTGTGTGTGTGTGTGCAGACCAGTGATCAACACTGGGTGCCTACTTCTATTGCACTCTGACTAAAATCTCAAGTCAGACTCTCTCCTGGAAGTGTAACTCACTGATTGGCTAGAAGAGCTGGCCAGAAAGCCCTACAGAACCTCCTGGAACTGTGACCCATTCTGCCCTCCCACCCTCTTGCTCACACCAGGTTGCGAAAGGCCGGGACTCAAAAAACTAAACTGGAGGGAAGTAAAGGAAGGTACTGATGTTGACTCTAGTCTACACATGAGCATACACGTGCACACACAGAGATAAGCAAAATAATATAATAACAATAATAATTAACTGCCTTCATTTTAACTAAAATTTGCAAACACCCTAAAAGTCTCTCTACAGGAGATCAATTAGCTAAGTGCTGCTGAATTATGAGCTGGGATGTAGCTCAATTGATAGTGTTTGCCTAGTGTGAACACAGCATGGATTCGGCCCCCAGCACTAAATAAACCAGACACAACTGTGCACACCTCTACCAAAGTGAATGTTAAAGGCAGGAGGGCCAGACACTCAAGGTCATTCTCAGCTACTTATGGAGTTTGAGGCTAGCCTGTGCTAGATACCTTGTCTCAAAAATAAATTGATTAAAAATGTAAATGATAGTGTGTGTATACATAACAAATTTGGGAGGATATACAGACTTACTGTTGTTTGAGGGCACAAGGGAATTGAATGTAAGACCTCACACATGGAGGAAAAGTACTCTATCAGTAAGCTGTATCTCCAGTAAGTTATACAGGCTTGCTTTGTACTCATGGTAGCCCAGGCAGATCTTGAGCTTGTGATCCTCCTGCCTCAGCCTCCCAAGTGGCTGGGAGTTATAGCTTATACTATTGTGGTGATTTTTGTTTCTTGTGCATTCGCTTTTTCATTTGGATATTTGAGTTTCTTAGCCAGGAGGAAGCATTAATAATTTTTATTTTGAAAAAAAATGTATTCTGCTTGGCAGACATCTTTTAACTGAGATCATGCCTCAATAAAAACTCAGAAAAAATGGTTCTCAAAAAACAAACAAACCCTAAATTTGAAGTCTATATTATCAAGCAGTGACATCAAAGATATTATTAGAAGTTTGGGGCATGAAAACGGTCAAGTCTTCTTCCTTATCTGGCCCTACCTAGCGGTGACCTCTTTTCCCTATGACTGGCCTTGGTTGGTCTGGACAGTAACAGTGCTACCATCTCAGTCAGGAACGTCCTGCCTGCTGCAGCCTCTCGGCTCTGCACATCTGCGCTGCCTGTGGCCATGCTGCACTCTCTGCGCACATCTGCGGTCCCCCTGGGAGGTGCAAACAGCCTCATTTTCACTTCTTGTGAATGTCAGGTTCTTTTCTGAGCATTTGCTCATTAACGCAAGTGAGTAAATCTCCCTGCCTGCTGCTTTGGTAAGAATTACTCCTTCCGTGTGGTTTTGAGTCAGGCAGTTGGAAGAGGTCCTGGAAGACAGCAGCCTACCAAGGAATGCAAGGTCCCTTGGCAGGACAGAGCAGTACTGCCATGTGCCTCACATCAGAGGAAGTGTCCCACCAATCAAACCAAATCTTCTGATCATACTTTAAAATTAAAGTAGGTTCCTGTTGTCTGGCAGAAAGCCACCACCATTTCCAGGCATTGCCAAGGTTGATAGCCGAACAGTGCTTTCTGCAACGAGATGTGTCTGGTGGTCAAGTCTACACGGTACACGCATGCACGTGCACACACACACGCGCGCACACATGCACACATTCATACACGCGTGCACACATGCACACACACATGTAAGCGTGCGCACGCATGTGCACACACACACACACACACACACACACTGCCTTACCTTTGCATCATCACTAAGCACTTGTTCTGTAAAACCACCAGTCTTGTGGCTACTAAGGGCTTTCCCTGGGGAAGTCTCAAAGCCACACAAGTGCCAAGTCCTTGACCCTCCACCCCCACCCTGGCTCTGCTCATTCCACAGTTTCTCAGTTCTAGAAACTAGAGAAAACAGTTTCTAGTTTTTAAAGTAACTCCTGCCTCAGGCACTAATTGCTTAATGTGAGTTTGTTAGAGGCCAGCCTGGTCTACAGAGTAAGTTCCAGGACAGCCAAAGCTACACAGAGAAACCCTGTCTTGAAAAAACAAAAAACAAAGCAGAGAAGACAAATCAGATGTGGAAACATCAATGTCCCACAGTGGCTGCAGCCACTAACCAGGAGGGAGCCCTGTGTGGAAGGTATGCTGGGTTCCCATCGTCAGGGACCCTTCAGACAGCTAAATGCCCTCAAGTGTCTCAGTGCCTATGATGGCAATCCCACTTGCCTATAAAACCTCATTCCTTGATTTTGGAGCTGGATCATGCGCCCAGCAAGCTCTTGGGTGATGGTAATAGTGACGACAACACACGGAGGGCCGTGTTCTATAAAGTGATCACCCACTCTTTGCCATTCTCTCTTCTGTCTTCCTGTTTTGTCAGATACAAGTTCACGGGCAAGCATGAGACCAAATGTAAGCTAGCAAGAAACATGGAAGGGCACCCGGTCCCCACACTCAAAGCAGTGCGCTCAATAACCCTCAACTAGAAAGAGGCAAAGACAATCTGAGCAGCATACAGACACCTTGCACACTTGGAGAATTGTTGCCTATGTTTTTGATTTTCGTCAACACCACCACAGACCCCTCAGAGGCAGCTAGAACAGGCCATGAGCTAATTTAGGAGGTTGTACTGAAGGGGTGGAGTACAAAGTCCTGGGAATATTGAGACCAAATCCTGTATGGAAATGGCTCCTGAGACCAAAACCACTACTGTGTGTATGAAACTCAGCTGTGATAGAAGATACTGAGAAGCAAACACAAGTCAGGCACCATCTGGTAGAGGTACCAGATGCGTTCACCCCTGACAAAAGAGGAAAACCTGTGACAAATCAGAGTGTTCTGCTGTAGCAGGGGACAGGGATTACACAGACAGGCCTCTGACTAGGAAGACCAGATAGACTGTGGTATGTTACAATAGAGGTTTAAATAAAAAGTCAGGAAAATGCAACTGTGGCAAGAGTTTATTCTGACTAAGGGCCCAGGAGAGGTTTTATAGGGAAGGTGACGTTTGGATTAGCTCTTAAGATGCTAATAGGATCTCAGCATCCAGGAGTGATGGCAGAGGTGACAAGACACAGGGCTGAAGCACTGAGAAATACCAATGGAGAGACAAAGGGGAAGAAAGGAAAATCTAGGCCTTTTGTCTGGGCAGAGGAAGTTTGGTTTATTTGAGAAGTAATTGGAAGCATGAGCGATTTCAGACGTTTTGGACATCCACACATATAGATAATAAAGACGACCCCTCACGGTGAATAAACATGGTCTTGCCTGAAGGAAAGGAAGGGAGGGAGGGAGGGAGGGAGGAAGGAAGGAAGGAAGGAAGGAAGGAAGGAAGGAAGGAAGGAAGGAAAGAAGGAAGGAAGGCAGAGAGAGACAGAGACAGAGAGAGACAGAGAGAGACAGAGAGAGAGGGAGGGAGAAAGGGAGGGGGGGAGAAAATTCTTAAAGACAACATAATATAGTTGAATATAATTGGGGAAGGCACATGGTACAAGATCAAGCTGAGATTGTTCTTGCAAGTCATGTTCCTACTACACTAACACAATTTAGTGACGCACGCCTTCAATCCCAGCACTCGGGAGGCAGTGGTGGGAGGATCTCTGTGAGTTCGAGGCCAGCCTGGTCTACAAAGCGAGTTCCGGGACAGCCAGAGCTGTGACACAGAGAAACCCTGTCTCGAAAAACAAAGCAAACCAACGAAATTGAACATGAAGGTACTCTCTGAGACTCACATTCTCTACCATTTAGCACCTAATTGGAAAGACACAACTGCTCGATCTAAGCATGCCGAGCACTCATTCCGGCCTCCTTCATAGCAAGGAAGGAAAGCGATGCAGGCAACGGGAGTGAATCTCCCTGTCTTTCTTCCACAAATGAACCCAGGTCATCTAGTTCCCCTGCAGAGTGTGCAGCTGACATTTAGTGAGGGAAGAAGAAAGATGATCTCTGGTTATGTGGGTGTGTTTCAGGCAAACACGTTTTCCCATCAGTTTCTGATTTCAAATGAGAACCCCAGGCACACACAGGCAGGTTTAGCGCTTAATATTCAGGGAGGAGGAAAGAATAGAAGTTACATGGTTTCCCTGGAAACCTTCTCTACAGGGCTTGCACATGTATTCT